GAAATCAGCAGTGAGATACGGGGTAACACGTGCGGTTAGATAACAACAACAAATTAATTGTAGTGGGCTTGGGCAGGATGTACGACTATGTATGTCTATTGAACTTCCTTCGCACCGTACGTAGCCAACCGCGCTAATCGGAGGTGCAGGGGGAAAGGACAACAAATGAAACACAACAACAAGAAGTGAATCTTGACTTAAAGCTTTCGTGACTGCAGGAATTCATATTCTTTGGGTCTTTCGGTAAAGTCCCGTAGGTAGGTTGAACCTAAAGTCACTTAGATAGTTTGAACCTAAAGTCACGTAGATTGTTTGAACCTAAAGTCACGTACAGAGGTTGAACCTTTCTACGTGACTTTACCAAAAGACCCAAAGAATAAAAACAACAAGCAGTTATAAAGAGACGAGTTTTCAACTTAGATTTAAAAGTGCATCTCTCCGGTAGCTTCCTAATATTGGAAGGAAAAGCGCGTTCCAGACGGCCGCAGAATCGCATCTAATAGCCCACCTGAGCTATTAGCTTCTTGTCAGAGAAGACCTGGCCACACGTGATAGCTCCTCGAAGTGGTTGATGCCATCATCATCATCGTAATCGTCACACGTGGGAATTTATAGAAACAGCCAAGTGATCTGAACAAGTGTTTACTCCAAATGTGGAGAGCAACGCTGGAGGGATGCGGAGAAAAATCCCAAGCGATCACCACGTTGAGAGGGACATGTGGACTCTGCGTATACAACAGGCATCGTCAGGGTCCGTGTTCGAACCCACGACCTCCTGCGAACTAGACGAGGGAGGTGACGCAGTTATCCTTTTTCCATTTAATATTTCGTCTTGCTGTTGCTTGGTTTTGTCATTGTGCTGTTATTAGTCTAGAGGTGATATGCCCGTGCTGATTTGCGCAAAAGGCAATTTTCGATTTAACGTTGATTTATATTTGCGATATTTTGAATTCCTTGTGTGATGCGGTCTTTTTTATTTGTTTTTGTACTGATAGCTGTTTGCTTCATTGCTGTACTCTGCTTTATTTGTGCGTTTAGTTGTTGTTGTTGATGTTGTTGCTTTTGTCATTTTGGTCACCCAGACCTCTCTCGCAACTGAGATTCATCCTCTGGTCTCTCGCTGTTCCTACCTGGTTACAAAAAACTAAGTCCTGAACCGTGCACTCACCATCGCCTAATCCACAATCCCTCCTGCCCAATTAACCGAGCAATGGGCCAGCGCTCACCTCTGTTCGCGGCCAGAATCAGTCTTCTTTTTGTTGTCGTACGGCTGCTGATGTAGACGCAGAGCAGCGACTACGACTTTCACAGTTTAACATGCGGTAGGCTTTCGCGACGAATATCATCCATAAAACAGGTGGGTTTTTTTAGGGGGTAAGATCGCGTATATATACATGTGTCGTTAAACCCGCCACCACCCAACACAGCCAATTAGTAAGGTGCGTCACGTCAACAGAACATGCACATGCAAATTCGTTACGAGTACAGCACACCGGTGTGTTGGAGAGCAAATCCACAACATTTACAATCCGAGTACGACGTTTCGCCAGTAATCGATGAAGCTCGTTTTTATTTACTTAAAACCACCAGCATCGCGCAATGCAATACATCCCCTGCACAACCGTTATTGGCGGTCGACGAGCCAGTGATGTGAATTCCACGTTCTTGTAGCGGGGGCCAGGTCTGGCCGTGACACGACCAACCGGTTAGTGTGTCATCAAATCTGCGTGCTGCCCTATGAGCAGAACATTCGCTAAATTGAAAAACATTTCGTTTCTTTTCAGAACTGCGTTTTGTGTTTCGTCTGTTTGTCCTTCATCCCGCACACTCCGATCCGCACGGTTGGCTGCGTACGGTGCGAAAGAAGTTTGATGCGCGTGCACGCTGCGTTTGCGCATAGACGCACGGATCGCCAGATAATTACGGCATTATGGAGACACATGGAGATTATGGAGACACGCGGAGATTACGGGGACACACGCAGATTATGGAGACATGCGGAGATTACGGGGACACATGCGGATTATGGAGACACACGCAGATTACGGAGACACACGCAGATTATGGAGTCACAGATTACGGAGACACACGCAGATTATGGAGACACACGCAAATTACAGAGACACACGCAAATTACGGAGACACATGCAGATTACGGAGACACACGCAGATTATGGAGTCACAGATTATGGAGACACACGCAAATTACAGAGACACACGCAGATTACGGAGACACACGCAGATTACGGAGACACACGCAGATTATGGAGTCACAGATTATGGAGACACACGCAGATTATGGAGACACACGCAGATTATGGAGACACGCAGATTACGGAGACACACGGAGATTACGGAGAGACACGCAGATTACGGAGAGACACGCAGATTATGGAGACACACGCAGATTATGGAGACACAGATTCCGGAGACACACGCAGATTACGGAGACACACGCAGAATACGGAGACACACGCAGATTACGGAGACACAGGCAGATTAGACGTTTGTGATGCTGGTAGGGAGACTTCCAGAGGGGCTTTCAAATGAAATATTTAAAAAAAAATGTCATCTCGATGATTCCTCTCCATTGTTATCGTCGTGGATCGCCCTGTGTACGTTAATCGCACCTCCTGTGAGCACGCTTGGCTAACGTACGGTGCGAAAGAAGTCCAACGTACAGTAAGGAAAAAAAGTATTTGATCCCCTACTGATTTTGTACGTTTGCCTACTGACAAAGTAATAATCCGTAAATAATTTTAATGGTAGGTTTATTTGAACAGTGAGAGACAGAATAACAACAAGAAAATCCAGAAAAACGCATGTCAAAAATGTTATAAATTGATTTGCATTTTAATGAGGAAAATAAGTATTTGACCCCCTCTCAATCAGAAAGATTTCTGGCTCCCAGGTGTCTTTTATACAGGTAACGAGCTGAGATTAGGAGCACTCCCTTTAAGAGTGTGCTCCTGTATAAAAGACACCTGTCCACATAAGCAATCAATCAGATTCCAAACTCTCCACCATGGCCAAGACCAAAGAGCTCTCCAAGGATGTCAGGAACAAGAATGTAGACCTACACAAGGCTGGAATGGGCTACAAGACCATTTCCAAGCAGCTTGGTGAGAAGGTGACAACAGTTGGTGCGATTATTCGCAAATGGAAGAAACACAAAAGAACTGTCAATCTCCCTCGGCCTGGGGCTCCATGCAATATCTCACCTCGTGGAGTTGCAATGATCATGAGAACGGTGATGAATCAGCCCAGAACTACACGGGAGGATCTTGTCAATGATCTCAAGGCAGCTGGGACCATAGTCACCAAGAAAACAATTGGTAACACACTATGCCGTGAAAGACTGAAATCCTGCAGCACCCGCAAGGTCCCCTGCTCAAGAAAGCACATATACATGCCCATCTGACGTTTGCCAGTGAACATCTGAATGATTCAGAGGACAACTGGGTGAAAGTGTTGTGGTCAGATGAGACCAAAATGGAGCTCTTTGGCATCAACTCAACTCGCCGTGTTTGGAGGAGGAGGAATGCTGCCTATGACCCCAAGAACACCATCCCCACCGTCAAACATGGAGGTGGAAACATTATGCTTTGGGGGTGTTTTTCTGCTAAGGGGACAGGACAACTTCACCGCATCAAAGGGACGATGGACGGGGCCATGTACTGTCAAATCTTGGGTGAGAACCTCCTTCCCTCAGTCAGGGCATTGAAAATGGGTCGTGGATGGGCATTCCAGCATGAGAATGACCCAAAAGACACGGCCAAGGCAACAAAGGAGTGGCTCAAGAAGAAGCACATTAAGGTCCTGGAGTGGCCTAGCCAGTCTCCAGACCTTAATCCCATAGAAAATCTGTGGAGGGAGCTGAAGGTTCGAGTTGACAAACGTCAGCCTCGAAACCTTAATGACTTGGAGAAGATCTGCAAAGAGGAGTGGGACAAAATCCCTCCTGAGATGTGTGCAAACCTGGTGGCCAACTACAAGAAACGTCTGACCTCTGCGATTGCCAACAAGGGTTTTGCCACCAAGTACTAAGTCATGTTTTGCAGAGGGGTCAAATACTTATTTCCTTCATTAAAATGCAAATCAATTTATGACATTTTTGACATGCGTTTTTCTGGATTTTGTTGTTGTTATTCTGTCTCTCACTGTTCAAATAAACCTACCATTAAAATTATAGACTGATCATTTCTTTGTCAGTGGGAAAACGTACAAAATCAGCAGTGGATCAAATACTTTTTTCCCTCACTGTATGTACGTTGTGTACGTGCGTGCGTGCATGTGTGTCGGGAGCGTTAGTGTCGAGGTCAGTGAGCTGTGCTACGAACCTGGCGACCCGAGTTCGATTGCCGCTCACGGCCACCAACACCAGCGACTATTATTTGAACCGGTCCTGCACGTCCCCTAGGTCGACTCAGCCTCAAATGAGTACCTGCTGCGGTGTGTAAAAACGTTGTCACTGGGAGAGACAAAGGCGGTCGGGCGTGGTCTTAGCCACCCACCCCCTCGTGTGCCGTGCCGGCCTTCATAGGTGCTCGCTAACAGCACTTGCCCCAACACAGTCTGTAAAGGCTATACGGGGTATTTTTGTCTTTGTGTGTAGATATTGCCGTGAACATGAATAACCACATTGAACCATTTTTTGTTGTGATGCCGCTTTGGGAGTTTTGCATCAGCGCATAGCAAAAACTCGCCAATGACACTGCAACGTCCCCTGCTATTGCAAGGGCCTTTGTCCGAAACGTCGCCTATTACATCATTTTTTTGTTTGTTTTGTTTTGCCTCCCCCCTCCCCCCCCCCTTTTAGTTTTAGCGTCATGGACGAATTTGTTCGACAATAAGCGACATTAATTTTTTGTTTAATAATGGTCCTTCTTCATAGCAAGGGGTCATTACCTGAAACGTCGCCTATTATATACATATATATCCTTCATGTTAGGACATTGCTATTGATGATAGTGTTAGGCGAGCGGGCGGCGGTGGGGGGTTGGTTACGAAATTGGGCCGGATAGAGGTAGCGAGTGGGTGAGTGAGTGGGAGGCCGGCTGCCTGGATGGCTGGGGGCATTGCGTGACCCCCGGTAGGCGTATTCCAAGCGCTGAGCCACGGTCGCTGTCATTAAGAAAGCACTCACGGGGTTTTGGTCGATTGTCCTCTCCCGCTATAAAAGACGCCTCCAACTATCGCCGAGCAGTGAGAGGCAATGCCCCCCCCCCCCCCACCGTCAACAGGTGTAGCAGCAGCAGCAGCAGAAGCTCTGGCAAGAAAGACTCACAGCACGCACAATGGTAAGACCACACACGCACACACACAACCACGGGGACACACAAAATACAAAGATCCCCCCCCCCAAACCGTGTAGCCTTAACAGACTGTTGGGGCAAGTGCTGTGAGCGAGTAGCACCTGTGAAGGCTGGCACGGCACGCGAGAAGGGGTGGGTGGCTAACACCACGTCCGGCCCCCTTTGTCTCCCGAGTGGCGATGTGAACACACGACACAACGGATACTCATTTGAGGCTGTCTACACGGACACACCCGCACGGACACACACGCACACACGGAATCAAAGCTCCCGTAGAGACTGTTGGGGTAAGTGCTGTTAGCGGGCACTCTTTCTCTCTCTTTCTCCGTCTATCTCAGTGGTGATGTTTACGCACCGCACCAGGTACTCATTCGAGGCTGAGTCGACCTAGGAGACGCCCTGCATCGGTTCAGATATCACTCGCCGCGAGTGTTTGCCGAGAGCAGGAATCAAGCAACCGGGGTGGGTCGGTGGGCTTCGTCGCGCAGTGCGCTCACCACGACATCAGAGACACGAACAAAGATCCCCCGTGTAGCCTTGACCGACTATTGGGGCAAGTCCGGTTAGCACCACCGCTCCACACACACATACACACGGAGAGACACACGGAGACACAAAGAGACACACACACTGCGTTACGATTATCCAGTATTTTAACACGGGCGCTCAATTTTCAAAATAATTCCCTGCCATGCTTTGCACGAGCCGATGAGGCTGGTTGCTGATAATTCGTTGCTTTGGCGGTCCTGTCCGAAGCGACTTCGTTGGAAATCCCTCATGCGGATGTTTGGCGGGTGGCCAGTTTCTCCATCGTGGGAACAAAACAAACGAAACGTTGGTTTTTATTCTAGCAAACCCGTTTCCACGACGAGCGAGCAAATTCTGCCACCCTGGCGCACGTTACACAATCGCTCGCGGACGCCACTGAATACGTGGAATGAAGCCCGATAATTCTCCGAGGGCTCTTCCTCTCCTTACTTGAGGAGCAACGGGACGGTGCTAATCGCTACGCGGGGTACAAGAAACCCCGCCTTCGACGTTACTTAATTTAAACTGAAACGAATGTGTACTTTTATTCCACCAGGTAAGGCCCTCAACTGAGCTCTGTCGGCCTTTTTTCAGTCAGCGACCTGGCCACACATCAACGAAATTACTTGTCATCACGTAGACATTTACAGCAGCCAAAATACTCTGAACGCACGTTTAGTCTAAATGTAGAGTGGGAGGGGGGGGCCGGAGAGAGACATGCAAACTCCAAATATACGGGCATCGTCAGGGTCGGAATTGAACGCACGACTCCCCGTATACCAGGCGAGGGAGTTCACATCTCGCCATCGTTATGCCCCTATAGGCCCAGCCGAGATGACGATGTGACGGCAGTGATGTAGCGAGTGGACGACCCCTGCCCTAGCTCAGCATCAATATTTATACTGGAGGAATCGGATGAGCTATAAAGCCCCCTTTCACAGATGTCCAGTAACCCGTAGCAAGATTCTGATTGATTCTGATTCTGAAAGCGGGGTTTCACTCGTATCGTTCGTACATTGCACTACGCAGCTGCATCATCACCATCACCATAATCATCATGATTATCATCAGCCATGATACATCCACTGCTGGATGGATCATGTTGAACGGATGCATTATAGGGTCGCACACATTACACACGAAGTTATTGCCACAAATGAACCACAATACCTCGCTTATCTCCTCAAGGAGCAGAAACCATCATCCTCATCCTGAACTCGGCTCATCCTCGCAGCAGCAGCATCGAGCAAAGGCGGTGGTCACCGCATCGTGCGCGGCGCTTTCAGATGCGCTTCTGCGGCCGTCTGGAACGCTCTTCCTTCCGTCATTTTGGAAGCCACTGGAGCGATGCACTTTTAAATCATCATCTAGATTGTTAACGCATTTCTTTGGAACTGCTTTTTTGCGTTGAGTTTTATGTCCTTCCCCCGCACCTCCGATGAGCACGGTTGGCTGCGGGACCACCTTTCTCACGACTATGATGTTGACAATCCGCCTAGGGACACTGCTCACGAGCTGTATGTGTATGTGTGCATGTTGAACTTCTTTCGCACAGTACGTAGCCAAACCCGCCCTAATCTTGAGCCGATTACTTTGCCGCGTCTGCCAATTCGTTATGTGTTGGAGAGGAAACCCACAAATTGTACTCGAATTGTAAATGTCGTGTGTTTACTCTCCAACACACCGATGTGCTGTACTCGTAACAAATTGGCATGTTCTGTTTACGTGACAAACCTGACTAATTGGCTGTGTTGGGTGGTGGCGGGTGTAACGACACATTTATATTTGCGCGATCTAACACAAAGAAACCTCTAGTATGTCATTGTACGCGTTTATATATGCGTGTGTATTAAGCGCCGAATCTCTCGCTCGGTACTTTCCTGAACGCTGCTCGTCTTGCTTGCTACAGAGATTGTCGCCCGAAGGAATAAACACTCGATTACAAGGTACATCAATTTTAAATAACCTATGAGAATAATAATAATGATAATGTATCCTCCGTTCCGACTCCTATAATCCTATGTACAGAATTACAACCACATTTACAATGATTCAATATATATTTCTAATCATTATAATGCCGCAGCGATTCCTCGCTGTGCACATCATCAGTAATACCAGTGATTTGATGCGTTGTGTAAACATCAGCACTGGGGATACAAAGGCGGCCGGGAGTGATTTTGGCCACTCACCCCCGGTCTTCACCGGTGCTGCTCGCTAACAGCACTTCCCCCAACAGTCCGTTAAAGGCGAAACGGTGGGATCTTTGTCTGTTGCGTATATGAGTGTGTCTCTGCGTGTTGTTGTGTACTAAAGGGTGGCTAAAGCACAGCAGGTTGGCACAGTAGGGGGCACAGGTGGTGCATCAGGCAGTCATCTCAGTCATCTCAGCCAGTCGACCCGTGGCAGCTGGGTCTGCCCCGTGACCTCCTGCCAGCGGGCGTTCGACACTTCACGTGGCCTGGCACGAGCGCCGTGGTGACGTAACCGGCCATTAGTGGCGAATGGCGGTTGTTGTTGTGTACTGTTATGGGTGCTGAGTGCTTCGCGCATTGCGCTACGTTCCGGCTAACCTGGGTTCGATTCCCGACCACGGATAACATGACAGGTGTCTGTACCTGCCCTGAACTTCCACTCGCTCGACGTAGCCTGCAACGAGCACCTGGTGTGACGTCCAAACAACTACACTGGAGAGACAAAGGCGGCCGAGCATGGTATTGACCGCGCTTTACTCATCCACTACTGGTTCAAAGCCTCCCCATACTTCACCACGCCGGTCAGCGCTGGTTAGGGACTGCGTCGCGAAACGATCTAAGGGCCGGCTCAGATATCATTCGCCACTGATGTTAGCCCTACCCATGCATAGAACTCTGGACGCCGGGTTCACGGTGCAGCGCGCTAACCACTGCACCACCGCTCCGCATACTACGAGTTAGCATAATGGGAGATTTGTCGTTTCAGGAGACCGAGATTCGGTGAAGGACAGTCTCTCCCTTGGTAGGTTTAATGTTTATCCAAATTATGGTTTAACGGATGAAACAACACGGACTACTGCTCGTTGACGTGCATAAACGTACATAAACATACATGCATGTCGAGATGCGAGTGTATATATTTATATACGATACATATAGATCGCGTCCAATAGGGCATCGTCCGTCAGAGAGATGAAGCGATGAAATCAGCTCGTGTACCGGTCCGTGGTGGATTCGTTACATCGCAGGATCGTGAGAGATGGTGGCGGATTGGGAAGGCCTTCATCCAGCAGCGGATTGACCATGGCTCTTGATGATGGTAGTGACGTTAAACGGGCATTCAAACGTATAGACTGCTGCGTCTATGTACGTAACGTTAATGTTAAAATGTAATTCGCAAAATAATCACGTAATTAAATATATAATTAGATAACTCAACATTATTTTCTCGTGAAAATCTTACAGATACAGTGTTAAACATATACAATATTCATATGTAATTAATTACAATTATATATATATACATACGTACAACGACATGGCATATGTATTACGTATGTATCAGCAAATGCCAGGGTGTTAACAGCAGTGCTGTCCGTGCACTAGGGGTGCTGAATTTCAGGCAGAACAGTCCGGAACATTGCCGCTCCGGAAATTATATAGGCACCCAGTCACATCCATTTTGCCTTGTTTTATAAATCCGATCATAGCACTGTATGAATGTAGGGTTCACTAATTTAGGATTATTGTAATTGTAATAAAATATGGTATAGATTGAAAACTAATTTCTTTAGTAGTGTTTTTTTTGTTGTTGCATAGTTTGTTGTCCGTACCCCGCACCGCCGATTAGCATGGTTGGCTACGTACGGTGCGAACGAAGTTCAGCATGCGTACACACATTGCCTCGTATACTCTAGTATACTCTAGTGGTAGTGCCTTACGCCGATAATCCCGACTTCAAACTACCCCATAGAAGTGTTATGAAGATATCTAGTGAGGATTTAAAGCCAACTGCATGACATATTTATGTTTAATTTCACATTTTTCTCGTGCCCTCATAGTTACTGCATACGCATGGCCTTGGTATCGTGTGTGTGTGTTTATATTAAGGCGACGAGCAGGTATTGAATAAACGGAATACGGGTTTTCTTCGCTTTATGCGGGTTCGGTTTGTGCGATTTCACTCTGTATATGCGGCTAACCTGTTTCTACCCAAAATTCGCTTTATGCGGATCGAATTCACAAATATGCGGCCATGCGGTCGAACGTGGGAGACCATTGTGTGTGCGTGTGGGTACCGTGTGCTGCTACTCGGCAGGCAGCTGTATGGTCGTGCGGTTTCGCTTTGTGCGCCCCCTTTGTTTTTGGAACCCAACACTCATTCCAGCATTGATAATGCAGTACAGTAATGATTATTGACAAACAGTTGTCACTCTACTGCTCGTTTCGTTGAATGGGAGTCATCTGTTGGCATCACAGCAGGTAATCTGTCAATTACAATTAAATTACAATTAAACCAATTATCTGGTGGTGGTGCTGCTGTTATTGCGATGGCAGTGGTGCACGAACAACAGTCATCACCAACGACGCAACGCTGTGTGGCTTTAAAAGGGAAATATATATATACAATAAGGTGATGTTTCGGGCTCATCAAGTTATTATTTTTGCTGAACTTTTTTTTCTGTATAGATGATAATGATCTCACGTGTTATATACGTTTGCGTTGAACTGGGAGACACATATATATAAAAAAAAACACACAGAGGAGTTCCCCTTCGCCTATAAACATCGGGCATTTCACCAGTCGTGGTTCATTCGAGCATGACTGCTGATGAGATGCTGAATGTCGAAACGGCTCCAGAGTTGTCATGGTTTTATTGTTCGCATCAACGCGGCTGAAACGATGCACTCCTCGAAGGCCGTGACGCTGATGGGATGCGTGAACATTTACCTCAATTTTACGTGGATAAACCAATATATCAATGCTGGACGGAGGTACAGTATTGATAATTTTGCAAATAAATATGACAATTTTTTAAACAATTCTACGTAAACATATATAAATGCAAACCTATATGATTTATTTTTACGTACAGTAAAACCTTGGATTGCGAGCATAATTCGTTCCGGAAACGTGTTTGTAATCCAAAGCACTCGTATATCAAAGCACTCGTATATCATATACGTACTACTCGTATTGCAAGACCTCGCTCGTTTATCAAATTAATATTTATTTACAATTTTTGCTCGTCTTGCAAAACACTCGCAGACCAAGTTACTCGCAATCCAAGGTTGTACTATATATAGGTACAGATTCCATGTATTGTATATGCACGTGCAATGAGTGTAATGTGGGAATACAATGCGATACAAAATTGATTATTTGAATACAGTGGATGCACGCACCTGCGTATATTATATGCAGGTGAAAAACAGAGTAAAGGTACCCCGGATAGCCCCCTGGGGCTGTTCGAGTAAGCGTTGTGAGCGAGTAGCAGCACCAATGAAGGTCGACATGACCACGCGAAGGGATGGTGTCACCGGGGAGTCTTGCCCGGGTATACACATGCAGCAGCAGCAACAACAACAACAACAAAACAAGACAAAGATCCCCCGTGTAGCCTGAACATACTTTTGGGGCAGGTGCTGTTAGCGAGCGCCTATTGAAGTGAGAAACTGCACGCGCAGGGGCGGGGTCGCCTGCAACCACACCCGGCCGCGTTTGTCTCCCTTGGTGGTGATATTCAACACACCGCACCAGGTACTCATTTGACGCTGAGCCGACCTAGGGTAAGTCTCCCCCGAAACGGTTCAGATTATTGTCACCGGTTGTTGGCCATGAGCTGGTATCGAACTCATCGCCGCCAGGCTCGTAAGCGCGGTGCGCTAACCACTGCGCCACCACTCCCCATGCGGGTGTGACTGCACAATGCATATGTACCCCTACACATATATATAAGTTCAATAAACGTAATAACCTACGCCTCGAGATTCCAGGTTTGCCTGCTGGCTGAGCTCCTTTCTGCGTCCCTGACAATGACGCGGTGCAGGGCCGTCGCCGCCGAATCTAACTGGCTAACTGGCTTCACGGGATGCTTGTTGTTGTTGTTGGTGTAACGAATGAACGTTGATTCGAAACTGGTGGGAGGAGGTCGGAAGGACGTGGGATCATCGATAGCGGCACAGAAGAGGTGGCAAGGAACGACTGGAAAAGATTGACCAAACGGCGCGTTTGACAATCGCTCTAACTTGATAATTTTTGTGCTCCGATGAAAGTTGTACCGCCATTATTTTTTGTCCACGAAATATTATTTTACATCATATAGAGTATATACAACAACAAAAAACCTCACAATACGTATCACCTTCGCATTGTATTTGGTGTAAACAACAACAACAAAGACCTTTCGTTCTCCGAGTCCAGGATGGCGAGGAGAGGCTGATAATGACAACCGCCTCTTATTTTCCGCTACAATAAGCGACGTTTCGGCAGATGGCCCTTCCCTTTGTACTCTAAATGAACGCGTTAAGTCGTCATTGTTATTGTTGTCGTTTTCAATTGTGCGTGTGCATCCCTGTCCAACGCAGCAACAGCAGCAGCATCACCAGGTACACCGTGATGTTTACAGATGCACGTACACGCGTTCATTAAACAACAACAACAATAACAAAGCAACGATACATTCCCCATGTACATGCACGCGGTATACACGGAAAACACCGCAGACTCTACACAACGCGGTCGTGTTGTCTGCACAGGTTGGCTGGAGCGGTGGCGCGGTGGTTAGCGCTGCACGTGCGCTGTGAGCCCGGAATTGGATTCCTGGGATCTCTCGGCTAACTCGCATTGACGGTGAGTGATGCCTCGAACCAGCACTGACACCAACCCGCACTGACCAGCGTGGTGAAGTATAGTCAAACGAATCCCCGTTGGCCGACACACGGCTTCGGGAGAACCTTTTCATCCAGCAGTGGATTGATAAAAGGGCAGAAATTAACGTATTGTTTTACAACGACACGTAACAGAGATACACCGCGTGAGAAATTGATGTCTTGCCGTGCATACAAACTGGGCATCAACAACAACAACCGCCATTTGCCACTAAGTGGCGGTGACGTCACCACGACGCTTGTGCCAGGCTATGTGCACCTTGAGGCCACGTGAAGTGTCGAACGCCCGCTGGCAGGAGGTCACGGGGCAGACCCAGGTGGTGCCACGGGTCGACTGACTGAGATGACTGGCTGATGCACCACCTGTGCCCCCTACTGTGCCAATCTGCTGTGCTTTAGCCACCCGGCGCTCCGCTCGTTGTTGTGAGCGTCGCTCACAACAACTGGGCATCACACACATTTACACACGCATACTTTACACGATTAAAGTACATGCACGTACGATTTATCACGACCGTGCGTGTGCTTGCTTCAAGGTCAAACAAATAACCCCCCCCCCCCCAAATTTCTCCCCCTCCGAATTTCTCCCCCCGTATCCCCCCATACCCCCCCGTAACCCCCCCCCCCTGTATTTCTCCCTCTCTCCCGTAACCCCCGCGTACCCCCACCCCCGGTATTTCCCCCCGTATTTCCCCCCCTCGTCCATCGCTCTAGAGTTCTGTAGGGAGCCAGTGCTGTCAGCGAACCTATGAGTGATATTTATTTAAACTTGGAAGACGTTAGAACATGAGACCTTTGTCTACACGGGTTCATGAAACGTATCGGGGTTTTTTTTTTTTACAAGATGCAGAAACACCTGTGCGTACACATAGACATACATACATACCTACAAAGGTCACTCCCGTATGGTCATAACAGACTGTTGGGGCAAGTGCGGTTCGCGAGCGCTTGTGAAGGATACCACGGTGGGTTTGGTCAGAACCGCGTCCCGCTCTGCCTTTGGCTTCCCCAGTGTTGGTGTCCACGCACCGCACCTGATACTAATTTCAGGCTGAGTCGACCTAGGGGAGGCCCACGATTTGGCCCGGATAGGTTCAGAAGGAGACTACTTGCCCCTGGTGTTATCCGTGGCTGGGAGAATGAACTCGGGTCGCCCCCAGCATAGCGTACGAAGGTTTCCCTCGCTATTCGCGGGTTCGGTTTTTGCGATGTCACGCTGTATAAGCGGCTAGTTCTATTTTTCCCCAAAATTCGCTTTATGCTGTTTGAATTAATTCTACATGCGGCTATGCGGTCGCGCTTGGGACAACATTGTGTGTGTGCTGTGTGTAGTGTGTTTACTGTGTGTAATGTGTGTGTACGATGTGTTTACTGTCTGTAGTGTGTTTACTGTGTGTACTGTGTGTGTACTGTGTGTAGTGTGTTTACTGTGCGTACTGTGTGTGTACTGTGTATGAGTTCTGTGTGTACTGTGGGTGTACTGTGTGTACTGTGTGTGTACTCTGCTATGTGTGTACTCTGCTGTGTGTACTCTGCTGTGTGTGTACTCTGTGTGTGTGCTCTGTGTGTGTACTCTGTGTGTGTGTACTCTGCTGTGTGTGTACGCTGTGTGTGTAATATGATGGGATGCGTAGAGTATGATGGGATGTGTAGAGTATGATGGGATGTGAACAATATGATGGGACGTGTACAATATGATGGGATGCGTAGAGTATGATGGGATGTGTACAATATGAACACTTATAAATGTCCCTATGTGGAGGGACGGATGTGTGAAGGAGGATAATTGTCTGCATAGTTGCGTTATCCCACGTATGTACATCGCAACTCTGTGTAGTATCTTAACATAAATGCGTGCCGTATTGTTCCCAACACGTGTGCTCCTGGTCCATTGTTCTGCACCTACAGTGAGCGACTGCTATTTTAATGATCACATCCGCAGACAACACGTGCCATGCTATCACATCTCTTGTTCTAGGTCATTTACGGATCTGTTGTTTCATTTCATAAAGTGTATGATACAGTATATGCAAATCACCGGTAATGTGTAATCATATACTGTATCATATATATGCCATTTACCAAGCGGCTTTGACCAGCGTGGTGAAGTATGGTCAAACTGCAGCCAACACAACACAGGGGAGAGATGCCTTCGGCCAGCAGTAAGTTTACAGATGTTTATAAATTATTGTAATAAGCATTAACTGCACCGTATTCATTCCAGTGTATGTATATATAATGTACATTAATTTCGACGTTTTTCGATTGCGGTACACACATGATTAATAACCGCACGCACTTTTCACAAATATGTCTTAACTCCGAAATAATTTCCCGAACGCTATATATTTAACCCGCACAGCACTGCAGAGGGTTCTGCTCTTCTGGCTGGAGGAGACGTTTAACTTTTGGAGCCACGTGTAGTGCGTTACCCACTGAGAATCCGTTTATCCCATAATGTGGACACTAGTAAGTGTCGTGTTCAAACCACAAATTCTTAAGTCAGTTTATTCTATTTATAGTGTCTCATTCTGGAAAGCGCCTTACAAATAAATGTAAATTATTATTATTATTATAGACTAAAGCACTGCCAATAGACTCAACACTGCCCATAGACTCAACCCTGCCCATAGACTCAACACTGCCCATAGACTCAACACTGCCCATAGACTCAACACTGTCCATAGACTCAACCCTGCTCATAGACTCAACACTGCCCATAGACTCAACACTGCCCATAGACTCAACACTACCCATAGACTCAATACTGCCCATAGACTCAACACTACCCCTAGACTCAACACTACCCATTTGCAAACCAACCGGCTACCATGAGAGATTCGTTCATGAGGCCATTCACATATACAAGCACAGAGACAATTTCAACCGAGAAGATGGATTCAGGCTTAGTAACTACTGGAAAGATGTTTTAAATCATTTCTGTTCTTAATTAATTGTATTTTTACGATGGCCTTCAGACCGCAGCTCTTTCGCCAGCATTGCCTCTTAATACCTCTCACACCACGGTTAATGGTATAGTTTTACAACATGGAGTATACTAGGGCCTCGCAGCTGTCTCTCTCCCCCTCCTCTGTTCCGACCATGGACGAACTCGTCCGTCTGAACGGGGCCCGTAGCTATCCGTGGTGCTGAAATTTGAGGCTTAAAGGCCGTGATCTGAACGTGGCTCTTTCACTCCAGCGCTGTCCTACCAGACAGTCTCGCCCCTTCACCTGATGAAGGCCGCTTGTGTTGTGGCCGAAACGTCGTGAGAATATTATTGTGTTATTTTATTTTATCAATTTATTATTTTATTCTCATTCTACGTGACTTTACCGAAAGAACCAAAGAAGATGAATCATTGCAGTCACGAAAGCTTTAAATCGAAACTACCCATAGACTCAACACTGCTCATAGACTCAACACTGTCCATAGACTCAACACTACCCCTAGACTCAACACTACCCATAGACTCAACACTGCACTATAGACTGAACATTGTCCATAGACTCAACACTGCCCATAGACTCAACACTGCCCATAGACTCAACCCTGCTCATAGACTCAACACTGCCCATAGACTCAACACTGTCAATAGACTCAACCCTGCTCATAGACTCAACACTGCTCAAAGACTCAACACTGTCCATAGACTCAACACTACCCCTAGACTCAACACTACCCATAGACTCAACACTGCACTATAGACTGAACATTGTCCATAGACTCAACACTGCCTATAGACTCAACACTGTCCAAAGACTCAACACTGCCCATAGACTCAACACTACCCATAGACTCAACACTGCCCATAGACTCAACCCTGCCCATAGACTCAACACTGCCCATAGACTCACCACTGCCATAGACTCAACACCACCCATAGACTCAACACTGTACCATAGACTCAACACTGCCCATAGACTCTACACTGCCCATAGACTCACCACTGCCATAGACTCAACATTGCCCATAGACTCAACACTGCCCATAGACTCATCACTGCACCATAGACTCAACACCGCCATAGACTCAACACTGCCCACAGACTCAACACCGCCATAGACTCAACACTACCCATAGACTCAACACCGCCATAGACTCAACACTACCCATAGACTCAACACTGCCAATAGACTCAACACTGCCAATAGACTCAGCACTGCCCATAGACTCAGTACTGCCCATAGACTCAACACCGCCCATAGACTCAACACCGCCCATAGACTCAACACCGCCCATAGACTCAACACCGCCCATAGACTCAACACCGCCCATAGACTCAACACTACCCATAGACTCAACACTGCCCATAGACTCAACAATGCCCATAGACTCAACACTGCCAATAGACTCAGCACTGCCCATAGACTCAACACTGCCCATAGACTCAACGCCGCCCATAGACTCACCACCGCCCATAGACTCAACACTGCCCATAGACTCAACCCTGCTCATAGACTCAACACCGCCCATAGACTCACCACTGTTCATAGACTCAACACCGCCCATAGACTCACCACTGCCCATAGACTCACCACTGCCCATAGACTCAACACTATCCATAGACTCAACACTGCCAATAGACTCAACACTGCCCATAGACTCACACTGTTCATAGACTCACCACTGCCATAATTCACGGTTATACACAACGGAGGTACAACATTGTCACGTTGCCTTGCATGACGCATCTATAACAACAGCGTATGCTGTGTCGCTCGATTAAGTTATAATTATTATTGACGATTATAATTGTCACCGCTGTCTAGGCGAGCGTGCAGTAGAGTTATTGTATATTTAGTAAATTAACACTATACGTGCTGCACCATGAACACCCTACACGCTGCACCATGAACACCCTACACGCTGCACCATGAACACCCTACACGCTGCACCATGAACACCCTACATGCTGCACCATGAACACCCTGCACGCTGCACCATGAACACCCTACACGC